TAGAAAGTTAATTAAATTCAAAGTAGGATTGCATATTTTCTAATGACTCTAGTATTATAATTCGAAGGCTTTGTCTTCTTAGAGGCTATTATGAATTGAATTGGGTCCCCCAAACTATGTGTTATAGCTCCTCTGTGCCTATGGCTATAACCCCATTTGGGAATGGGTTGTCTTTGTTAATGAGACAGGAATACTGTAGAATATTGTTGATGTTGTTAAGTGCCGCCAAGTCGGGTTCCAACTCATAGGGACCCTGTTTAGGGTTTCTGAGGAGTGGCTGGTGAGTTTGAACTGCCGACCTTGTGTTTCAAACTGACCTTGAGGTCCAGTGCTTCTTCTGTAGTGCCTCACCAAGACTCCCTTTTGAGATATAAAAGAGATTAAACAAGGAAGCTAAAAGGCACAGCGGGATTATTGATGCCAAACCCCACGGAGATCTCCAAGGATCCAGGAAATAAGATGATGGGACAAGAACCTTACCACAGAACTGGAAGAGAAAGATTTCCCCTAGAGATAACACCCTGAATTTAGATTTCTAGCCTCTTCAACCTGATGCGGTGCTGTAGGATAAGCACTAGACTGCTAACTGAAAAGCTGGCAGTTCAGACCCACCAACTTCTTTTTTTTTTTATAATGGTTTTATATTTTTTATTGCTTTAAATGTTTTAACTAACAGGAATAGTTTTAGCATAAGGAGCAAGATAGGAATTTGAACTTTGTATATTTTCAAATGACTAACCAGTTGTTCCATCATACTTATGGAACAATTGGTTTCTTCCCATTGATTAAAAAATATACCTTTGTTGTTGTTATTGGTAAGTGCTGTCGAGTAGGTTCCGACTCAAAGCGATCCTACGTAGGGTTTCTGAGGAGTGGCTGGTGAATTTGAACTGCTGACCTTGCCATCCAAGTGTTTGTTGTTGTTGTTATGTGCTGTCAAGTCGGTTCTGACCCATAGCTACCCTGTACAGGGTTTCTGAGGCTGTAAATCTTTTTAAAAAATGTTTTATTGTGAATTATGTGATAGTTTACATGGGAGAACATTAGTTTTACATTCATTCTATCATATATCGTCTCATTGCCATG